TTCCACTGTAACTGATAACTGCAATTGCAATTGAGGGTGCAAAACACGGTCTACTTGTAGGTAATGACGTGACAGATTTGAGGGTAAGTTCGTGTAACTGTATAGAGTTATATTAAGTTGCAACTTCCATTTCAACCAACCTCCAACCCCCCTTCGCACGTTCTCTCTTTTCTTTCTCTCCCTCTTCTCCTTAATAGCCCTAACCTTCTCTCGATCACTTGTTAGATTTTATATTCTTTGTTCAAATCTCTGATTCACAAACATTCCACTTACTACATTGCTGATTCCACCTATTAAATCTGACAATGCTCTTCCATATGGATTCCTTAGTTCAATGGACATTTTCAAAACTGCTGCTTCATATGTTTCAGATGGAAGTTATCCCAGACATGTTCAAAGTTTTATGACCTTTCTAACTGTTAATTATGAACACTCTTGAGTTTCTAGTTGTTGCTTCCACTTACAGCCTGTTCTTTACTGTTCTTAGGATTCATATCATAGAGATTCAACTAGGTTGTTTTCACATTGGTCGTCAGCTAACTACTCAAGGACAGCGCTAACGAAGTTAGCTTGTTGTTGCAATCGAATTGGTTACAAGATTCTATGAATCAAGATTACTCAACTAATCAAGGTACCTAATAGGAACCTTTCTAAACCGCTACAATTATTAAATGGCTCTGATAGTTTATATCTTTGGCTGAGTCTTTGCAGTGACATCTAAACAAACAGTAAAGATAATCCATTAAAAGGAAGTATTAGCTTCAATATGACTAAATGAAATAGATATTCAGAAAAAGACAAATAAGACAATGTGGTATCCTGAATTTACTACGACCTGGAATCCATGACAGGCCTATAAAAATCTGTTTGATGGCTTATGTGCATCATGGGAAAGAAGAAGCATTTATTTTTTCCGCCACAATGGTCATACATAGTCTAAGTGCCAAATTCAAAGGCATCATTCACTGTATCTGTTAACATACCGCACTTCGTTGTTGGTTTAAGCCTCCATTGCAACGAACACGCAAATAACCATTGCTCTCTTTTGGAGGAGCTATATAATTGACATTAAAAAGAAAAAAAAGAACCATCAAAATGATCACAAATCTCAGAGTAGAATTTCAAAAGAATTAGCTAAAAGTATGCTTGAAAAGAGAAAGGCTGCATACGTGGCCAATATGAACGAGGAGCTGATGACGGTCTCCAACCACCAGAGGTAGCAGGGCCCCAAAGCTTATCCACATTAATATCCTTCAAGGATGATGAGAAAAGGGTCAAAAATTACAACTGGAAACATATTCAACCAATAAAAAGTGAAAAAAAAACTGCACAAATTGTCCATTAATTGTTTGCAAGGTCTATAATGTTGAACACGGACCAGAAGTTATTGCATCAGCTGAAGTTAAAATCAACAAACAAAAAGTTGAATTATGTAGAATGCTGATTAAAATTCTAAAAACCATATTCACTACAAGCTAAATTACCCGGTATCTTGTCTAGGCTCCTGTAACCAAGTTCGACTTCAACACTCCTTGGACGCTCTTTGAATATGCACACATTTCTTCTGACGTGTAATCTCAACCATATAATACATGTTTTAGTTTAAAACACTCATCATACACTTTTTACTCAAATATATAATACATTTATGTTACACTTCATGTCAACTTCTTGCAACTTGGTGGCCAACAGTCTGGTCCATTTTAGCCTAAGTTGCATAGAAAAAGGTACGGGTACAGGTAAGGTTTTAAATATCGGATGTCGGGTTCATGTCGGATGGCTAAAATCCATGTCGGATAGCGGAAATCGGGGATATATCGGGGGACATTGACTAAATATCGGATTACAATATCGGGTAGTGCGCATATGTATAATATCATGTCCTAAATATAATCTAAGCATTCATAAATTCAATATAAGCATACTTTATAAATTCTATAGACTAAACATATAAAAAGGTAAATAATATATGGATTTGGGTTCATAAATTCTTTCTATCGGGTTCATAAGAAACCCTTAAACATGAGAATGGGTCAAACGTGTTTGGGTATTTATCACTAAACCCAAACCGGATAACAAAAAACAGAACTTAAAAAAAAGTACTATATCAGCCGATTTTTCAAAGCTAAAAAATAGGCCGATATGCCCGATATGACCCTGATATTTCCGATTTTACCCTGAAAACCGATATACGAGTTGAAAACGTCCATGTCGTGTCGGTCAAGCCCTCAAACTGATATGTCGGCCGACATGTCGGACATGTCAGTCGACATTTAAAACCTTGGGTACAGGTACAGGACACGACAAATTTGTAAAATGTTGGGCACAAAGACACGGCTACATATATATTAATTAATAATTTTTATGAGATTATTATTGTTTTTCATTCATGTATTATTAGAATTATAAGTTTTTTTTTATTATGTTGATTATTATACATTGGAAACTGCTTGATTTTGGAATGACACCCAAATCACCCTTTAAAATCATAGTTTCGAACTTGAGTATGGGCTAAAACGAACCCGACCCATGTATAACGAGTTTCAAGAAATGACCTGAAGTGTATGATATATGTCCAAGAAGTGTATGTCAAGTGTTTTAAATTAAGACATATATCATATAATTGAGTACACGTTTGAATAAATGTATGCATATATCGAATGAGTGTCCATGAAGTTTGGTACAAGTACGTAGCAGGTACATGTCCGTTATGGGTATGACTTCATGATAGAAGTACCTGGGTAACATAGGTTTTAGCCCATATCCAGTTCAGAAATATGATTTTAAAGGGTATTTAGGTATTGAGTTGAAAATGAGTAGTTTTTCAATTTATAATCTATGTAATAAATGAAATATAAAAATGATATAGGAAGTTTAGTTTTCATAATATGTCGATGAGAAAAAAATTAGCCTCATGTAAATTATTATTTTCAGAATGTTTATGTATAGCTATCTTTTGTATCCTAACTTTTACAAATTTTTCGTGTCGTGCACCCCAACCTGTGTAACATAGACTATGTAAGCTTGACTAAGGAAAGATATTCTAGGCATAATGAGCCATCAACCAGCTTAGATTGCATAAGGAGCTGGGGGGACTATTTATTATGATGGATAATTTTGTTTGCTGGAAGTTTCAACAAGAATTGGATGAAAATGGTAATGTTGTTGCCATGACGAGGCGGAAACAAAGTATATCAGTGACGGGTTGGATTCAAATCAAAAGTTGGAAGACATTCACATTCTCTAAGTAAAACGCCGCAAATTGCTTTGATAAAGCCGATATGGTTTCTCCCTCATTTTATTGTCAAAGATGCCTGGAATTGTTATATATTCCACAATATCTGCACAATATATTTGATCAATATTTTGTAAGGAGCTGTTATGGACGGTGTTGTTTCCTAGTTGTCCTGTCTCCTGTCTTCCTTCAGTGCAGTATTTCTTAACAAAAGTTTTTTGTCATTACAGTTATTCTCGTAGCTAACGAAAGCTATTTTGTTCTATTCATAAGTTTGCAAAACTTCAATTCAATATATTTGAACTAATTTACCGGCACTCAAGTTAGGATAATTATTCAAAATTCAACACAATCGTCTCATACTTTATCCGGCATTAAAGGAGATGCAGACAAAGAACCCTAGATTTCAACAAAATCTAGCAAGAAACTAGGACTCTTATCTTCTTGAACCCCAGTTCTAGAACAAAAAATTGCTAAACAGACCAAAATTCCAAGGAATCAAACCTTGGCTTCATCTGAGGATCGATTCAATCCAATGGTCGAGAACAGCCAGAGGGTGCAGATCACGAGAGCGACTACTGCAATCGATAATCGACCAACCAAACCCTTAATCTGCTTCGCTTGCCTCGTAGCTGCGCCTCTTCGTCCCCAAAGATCTCTGCGCTCCAAAAATCAAAATCAAATACGAGAATATATACACACACGAAGAGATGAAATTGCCATCACTTACTTCCTCATTTGATTCAAATTCGCCTCTCAATCGTTCAGAGACTGAAAATTCTCGACGAAATCTGAGAACTTTTGAGATAGTTATTCGTTTTCCCCCTTCCCCCCCTGAGTAGCGTGTGGAGCTGAGATCTGACCATCTGAGTGAAACAGAGAGGGAAAAGAGGGAGGTGACGGTGCACGTTAACAAGATGTTCCGCGGGAACTTTGTACAGGTGCTGAGGGAAAAAACAAGGGTTATTTCAATATTTAGTCCCTCACATCTGCCATATTTCCAATTTTGTCCCCCATATCATGGAAATTCCTATGAGGTCCCTCAAATCATCACATTGTTCCCTATCAGGCCCCCCTGGTTAACAATAGTTATATCTAAAGGAATATTCCTTTAAATCTAAGTTTTAGTACTGAAATTCCAATTATACCCTTGAATTTTAACCTTGTATTAGGATTTTCTATTTATTTTAGATTATTTGATGCATTTTGGTCGTAATCTGAAACAATTATCAATGGTCATGTAGCATTTTGACAATTTGAATGAAGTGATATTAGAAGAAATTTTGAATCGACCTGTAACAATTTGGTAAGTTTGAGATGTTTACTGTAGCAATTAAAGGCAATATGGAACAACAAAATTGCATCACGCTCGACAAGCTATGACCATATAAGCAAATAATTACATTCATAACTTATTCAACTCCACTATTCAGTGTTGAATTTCACAATGATATAAGCATAGAGTAAATAAAGGTGCACAATTATGAAATTTTCACTGCACCGAGTACAAACATTTTTCACAAAAAAGGGTGCTAATTGAATGCAAACCGTGTATTGACGAAGACAGTATTGTGCAACTTGCACAAACAAGCATAAGTTCACATAGTATGCAACTTGCACACACACCATCATCATGTTCACAAAATGGTGTATCACTAGCATACTTACACAAGCATCACATGTTCAACAAAATGGTGTGCCAGCACGCATACAGAACCATAAGACCAAGGACAAAGTGTGTCATATTCACACATAAATCAACACGTAGCAAAAGGTGCGTCATATGAACACAAGCAGTTAACATTCACAAAAATGTGAGCTTAATGCACGCATACACCAACACAGATTGACATATTTCATCTCCACACCACGCTACCTACTGCAGAATGGGATGAGCTTGAAGTTTCAGTTGAAGGTTGCTGGCTACTTGGTTACACCTGGTGTTGGTGGGATGGTCCAAGTGCATGCTGGTGAAATGGAGGTGTATCGAGTGGGGTTGATGTAGGCGGTGAAGCTACTGGTGCTACTTGAGTGTTGAAACCGCTGAAGTTGTTGCTTGTAAAGAATGGGGTTGATGATGATGTATGGAACAGGATGTTGAAGCTGCTACTTGAATGTGTATGGTGTGGGGCTTGAGTTGCTTGAGATGATTGAGAAGGTGCTCTTGATCTTGATTGCCCAGTTCTAGGTGGCCTCTCCCTTTAATAGTCGTTGCTTTGGACACCCTTGATCTTGAGGCTCCATCTCTGTGCACATATATTTCAACTATAGATTAGATCAATTAACATAATATTATAGAATGCCAAATTTGATTGAGAATACATTACCTTGAAGTTTGATGTTGGGTTGAAGCAGTTGAATTTTGTGTAGAAGGCTGTTGCGCATCCCTATCATTAATTGGTTGTTTGCATGAATTCTTGTGGTGTCTCCAGCCTTGACATCTAGTACACTTGTGCAACCTCTTCAAAGATTTTGGCCTTCCTTCTAGCTCATCCTTCGCTCTAATTCTTTTCTTCTTTGGCCTTCCTCTAGGCCTCTTTGTATGAGGAGGTCAAATGATGAAATCTTTCATATATGTCTCCCATTGATCCTTAGATGGCACAACTCCAATTGATTTGGCATAAGGCTCTTTATAGCTACAAACATACAATTGTCAGTAGCACAAGTGGATGTTAATGATACTATTAGTAAAATGACAAATACAAAATATGACATATCTATCAATGGCGAAGTATTCATCACAAAAGTGATCCCAAGGTGCATTTCTAAGTGAGCCAATGAAGTTTGCCACATGGATGGCAAGGCAAACCAATCAATTGCCATTTCCTACAGCTGCGAGTTCTAGCTTGCAAGTTGATGATTCTCCTCTCAAATTCATTCTCCACTTCAGCTTCTATATCATTTGTGTGATGAACTGTGCAACCACCCAACTTTTTATTAATTTCTTGACAATACCTTTCAGCATAAGGAACCAGTTTGCCTTTCCATTGGTTTGCTTGTTTCCTCCTAATATTGAACTTTTGCATATTTTGACCCTAAGTTTGTCAATAAGGTCCACTACTGGCATATACCTTGCATCTAATATCCATGAATTGAATGATTCTCAGCTCTTGTTGGTTATAAGGTGATTCTTTGATATTGGTGAAAACTGACTTCTAGCCCATACAAATTTTTTCTTAATCAAATATATGAAAGCTTCCATTGATGCCCGCTTTAAACTATGCATATGCATCTCAAATTCACTAGTTGTGTAAGCCCTTGCAGCAACCCACACAGTTTGCTCACAAAAATCTCCAGGAAAATCTTTTTTGATTGCTTTCCATAGGTGTCTCATGCATACCCTATGCTCTGCTTGAGGCAACAATATAGACATAGCTTCTAACAAGCCCTTTTCTTGATCACTCATAAAATTAACGCCCTCAAGATTACACCACCAAAAGCTTGCAATATATTTTGTAAAAACCAATACCAGGACTCCCCAGATTCTCCCTCCACAACAACAAAAGCCATAGGGAATAACCCATTGTTACCATCTAAAGCAATAACAGACGACAAGGTTCCCAAATACTTGGACCTTGACTGACAACCATCAAGGCCCATATATGGCTTACAACCACTTCTAAATCCCTCTATTGATGCATTGAAACATACGAACATTCTCTGAAAAGCATAGTCACAATCTAACTTAATATCAACATGACTTCTTGGATTTCTCTGTAATAACTCATTCTTTAATGACAAAACAAAGTCATAAGAAGCTTCAACATTCCCAAATACCATGTTTCTTGCCACTTCCCTTCCTCTCCAGACCCTCTTATATGAGATTTCCAACTAATATTTGCTTCTTATTAAGTCTTGAATATGCTCTAGAGTTATGTTACTATATTTTTTAACATCCCCAATTACATTTTTCTCCACCCACTTCGTTGTTGCTTGGTTATTTTTATATTTGTTGACACCAATGCGTGTGTGTATAACTTCAAACACTGAAATCTCCAGTGTTCTCCGATCAGGTAACCTTTTTGGCCCTTAACTTCCAAGGTCACTTCTCACCTTCACATTTGGCAACTAACCTTACATTATCATTCTTTTTCAGATTATGATTAAAATTTTTTTTAGTGCCATACTGTTGCAAACAATGCCTGAGATCATTTATATCCTTAAATTTTTCACCCATAGCAAACACAAGGTCTTCATAGTTAGTGTTGTGAATTGCCCCATCAAGATTCTCAATCACGTCATCGACATCCTCACTACAAAACTGCTCCTCAGAGCTATCGAAGGAATGATATTCATCGTCTGAGTAACAATCATCAGCATCATCACTAACATATTTTGTATTCTCCACCACAATATCTCTAATACCCATAACATTCTCCTTAGCTCAGTGATAAGGATATGATCCTCCCATATGTTCACATCTTGTAGATTAGTCCCCATCCCACTCTCACCCTCACTGTTTGTAAACTTCACTCCACCCTCTGTTGCATCACTCATATCACTCCCTTCAAATAGCGGATTATCTGTTGCATCCCAACGCCCTGTATCCCACTCAAACTCATCTGCATAAGCCCCTTGATTGTTCTCATCTAAATGAACAAAAGTATCATCATTGACCCTCATGTTTTCATCAGCACTGGGTTCATCTCCTAAGTCCACATCTGAAAATTAACATAAAGTCTCAAATGAATTTAAAAGGACTAACAATCTATGAGAAAACAGCATAATACACTCGCTTTTCAAATTAACTTATATGTATAAAGACTTGATTTATCTGCCATCAAGAATAGCTGAATATATATATATGGTTCTCTTGAATTCATTAGCAGTCAATTTTTCCAGTAGATACAAAAAAGGTATGGCTAATCAACACTTTAAAACCTTATAGTTTACCTAACTTCCGCTTATACTCTATCTTAATTTGATATTTTAATGTCCATTTTCTTTTTTGGCTCAAAATATCAAGCCATCATCTTCCACTGATCAAGTATACTCTAATCAGAATTTTATATGCTAAAAGTTGATCAAATATGTGCCGAAAATTCTACTCATATAACCACACAAAAGTATTATAAAAAATCAGACAACGATCAACAAGAAAAAGTGGGAAAACCCAAAAAATTATGACTTTTACTTGGAGAATCCTTCAGTTAGGGCACCGATCAATTTCTTCAAATCACTGATAACCATTCACAAATGCGCGAGATTGCAGAGAAATGAACTAAAAGAGGAATTAGATAGGGAGGGTTTAGATGGGGTATCTGAATGGTTTTGGGGGCAAATTCAGTGCTTTTGGGGGAAATTTTTTTCGAATTAGGGGTTTTGGCGGAAAGTTTAACGTGTGGGCACTATTGTAATTTACTATGTGGAGCTAAGGCTTGACTCAACCCCAGTTACCCAAATAACCGTTAACTTAGACAGGGGGACCTGTTTGGAAACAATGTGATGATTGAGGGATGTCAGAGGAATTTCCATGATTTGGGGGACTTAATTGAAAATATTGAAGATGTGAGGGACTAATATTGAAACAACCCGAAAAACAAATGTCGCCGTACCCAATTTACTTACCCTATCGGTGAAATGTAGGACCCACATCATTAGTGCTTCTCCCGGAGTAAAGTGATAACGTAGAACTATACATGTGACATTTATTAAGGTGAATAATAAATAAATAACTATGATTTGTGAGTCTGTGACCGACACCTAGGACTTACTTCTAAAGAGGAATGAATAATGACTCACGAACATATCAAATTTTTTATGGAAAATCATAAGATTTCATTAATTAAGGAACTGCACTATTACAATTAGCAAAAGAAGATGTGCATTATTATCAGGTGCTTCTTCCAACTATACAATCATATTAGAGAGACCTAAAACTTTTTTCGTCAAAACTTGAGCAACTTTGCTACAACTCCTAGCATGCATTTGGCCACTCCACAAAACAAGTTTTAATGGGAACAACTTTAGTCCAAAAGTTAGTTTTTAGTTTTGCAACAATAGGGCTAAAGTTGAACTAGTTTTCTTTAGTTAAAATTTCAGCTATAAACTGGTTTTTTTTAACCACCCTCTACTTGGACTAATTTTACTTTGTCCTAGTTTACTTTGTCCTAATTAGAAGAAAACTAGACTTTGCCTAGTATATTTTTGTAGTTGCCAAACGCACACCCTAGGTGTGTGTTGAACCTCGAAATGTTGCAATCTCTAACCCAATCTTTTAATGTCTGCACAAAATCCATCGAGATCTGGTAACTCCCTATCCGAGTAGTTTATCACATTAACCACCACTGAATTATAAATTTCAAGGACCACCTTTGAAAGGTTCAATTTCAAGTGCAAAGTTAGCGCATCCCTTGAAGCGAGAGACTCATAGACTATAATCTCAGCAACTCTTGTATTGCATTTTAAAAATCCGGCCATGAAACTACCATTCACAACCCTCATCACACATCACACATCACACATCCTAGGCTCCTATACAGTGGTCTCCTCTTACATGTTCTATCCATATTAATTTTGTACAAACCAATAGGAGGAGTTCATCTTGAGTTTACTGTCGAGGCATGAACATACGGCCTTTAGCTTCACTATTTTCTATAAAAAGACACTGTGTATATTTTAGCCTCTCTCATGACCCATACCTTCTAGAAGAAAATTTCAAAACAGCCTCAAATCATGTTTTAATTTTCAAAACCGACCCACTTTTTTTTTTACCAAAATCGACTCACTTTTTGCCACGTCAGCTTAATCTCATTTCCTAATTAGTCGGGGTTGCCAACCCCGACTATTTAAGGCATAAAAAATCAGGTTTAAGGCTTCTAATTAGGGTTTAACAACCTCCTAAACAGTCGGGGTTGCCAACCCCGACTGTTTAGGAATGAGATTAAGCTGACGTGGTAAAAAGTGGGTTGATTTTGGTAAAAAAAAAAAATGAGTCGGTTTTAAAAATTAAAACATGGTTTAAGGATGTTTTGAAAATTTCTTCTACCTTCTATCCTTCCCCATAACACTTTGGTTATTATCATTCCATAGCATCCGTACAGCCACACAAAAACTCGTGAACGTATCATTGAAAGTGGTATAAATGGGTAAAAGATCACATACGCACTATAGAAGTTCATATATCTATATCTATATCTATATCTATACTACTTCTAAAAGAGAAAACCATTGTCAAAACTTTTGCATACCCAAATTGCCCTCTTCAAATTTTGTAATTCTAATTTTATCCTATATAATCTGAAATATACCCTTTCCCCTGCCGCTCCCCTTCGCAACCGCCTCTTCATCTCTCTCTGCTTCTTCCGTTTCTCAACACCGATCCGACCTCTCCCCTTCCCCTCTCCCTCTCTCTTTGAAAACGCCCAAACGGATCCGACCTCTCCCCTTCCCCTCTCCCTCTCTCTTTGATAACGCCCAAATGGATCCGACCTCTCTCCTTCCCCTCTCCTTGCTTTCTCCTGCCCCTCTCCCTCTCCCTCTCCCCGTCTCTAAATTATTTCGACGTTCAGACTTCCGTCAGTTTCCCTCTACCTCTCACTTGCTCTCCCCTTCCGTTTTGTGATTCTATAAATACCTTTTGCTGCAATTTTGATGGAACAACGGAGGGGTTTTCTTCCAATTGTATAAGTATGGATATTGGTTATTCTTATTACCTTCTTGTAATTTCTGATTCATATTCTCAGTTTGATTGTTTGATGGATTATCTTTATTTGTGGTATTGATGATTGATTGATTGTTGATTGTTGCTGTTAGTTGTCCGATATTGATTGGAGGAGTAAAGGTAAATTAAATTTTTTATTTTATTTCTATGATTTTTCTCTTACAATTCTAGCATTTTGTAACGTATTTTTATTGATATCTGTTGAATATTATTAAACTACTATTGTGTTTGGGTTTACTTCATTTCTTTGAGTTGAATAATTTGATATATGCACTGAGCTTTTCCCCCCGTATGTTCTGTTAAATGGACTCTACTATACCTTAAAGGTAATTATTTTGGTTTAAATAGTGATGAAATATTGCATAATTTTTATGTATATATGACTCGATCATAATTAGTAATTACATTTTTTGTTAATATTATAAAATTGCTAAACACATATTAGAACATCTGTTTAGTCTCTTGCAAACTCATATTTATTTCTTATTGATTGATATACATTTACAAAGATAGAGATTGTGACCATTTACATTCGATCTTCGGACGTTCTAAGCACTACACGACATTTACTCGGAAAGAAACCATCAGATACTTTGATCTCCAGCGGGTGACAATACACATTTCAGATTTCAAATCATAGTATATGTGACCTAGAATCTCACAAACTAATGTAAAACCAAGGTTATCCCACTTTTGTTAGTTTACCTTAATGAAGCTAGCGTTGGCTTCAAGGTTCATGACGTAATGCTTGTTTGTTTGTTTTTTCATTTTTTTCATTTTTTTTCGTTTTTCATTTTTTTGGTAATTTGGTAATGAAGTTAAAATTTCCCTCGTATCATGCGTGTTCTGTTAAGATTCGTTCAAAGAAACAAGACAACTTACACATCTTTTAATCTCAAAAAAGTAAAAAAGGGGAAAAGAAAACATTGCATAAATTCTAAAAAATGAATTTTGGATATTTTTTTATACATTTACATGAGTTTCCATGATGACTATACATTTAAAGCTTAGAAGGAGGATTACCCACAATATTAAAAGGCTTTCTAAAATTGGTGGCCTTTCTTTAGTATGAATTTTTGAGAGGCTTTGAAGCTGTCACGAAACAAAAGCACATTAGATTATTGCTTGCATGCATGATGTTTATTTTGGAATGGGTGCATGAGAAAATATTTTGGTCTATGAGTCCTCTTTTGCTCAAAGTTTTCACATGCACTCTTTAACTAAGTTAAGATCCTTGCTAGACTCTGATTTTCTTCATGAATATTTTAGCTTGTTTATGCGATGAAAATTTTCATAATGCAGATAAATATAGTTGAAAGGGTAGCTAACATTCACGAAGAATTGCATTTTATGAGCTTTATTTTCTAGCCTAGCCTGCAAGCTCATGTTTATGACCCTAACTTGCACTTTAATATACCTAGCCATACAAGTTACAAGGCATAATGACTTATCAATAACTTTTTGTTGGAAATTCTTGTATTGAATGTAATCTTTTTGTTAGAAATTCTTAATTGTCCATATTAGAATGTAATTAGTTAAACGTAACAAATACGAAAGAGTACCAATCATGTCATAGGGTTTGCGTCAACCGATATGATCTCTAAAGTGTCAAGACTTATATTATAGCTATTTTAATAATTTCTTTTGTGGTTTCATAACAAATGTTGAAACGCACAACACGCAAATCAGTTCCCAAACCATATGAGTTTAAAACTTTTGTTAAGGACAAAAAAATTATTGAAATTTCATCAAGTGACGATGAAGACGAGAAGAAAAAACATGTTAAATGAGGGTCACTCAACCAACAAGCAAGCAATTGGTACTTCAGCTTGACTATATGATGATGAAGAAGAACCATCGATTGAGGAGTCATTACAATATTAAATGGAGAAGGATGTTTATCCTCCAACGTTGGTTTCTATGTTTGCGATAGGTATGTTGATGATGTTATGACTATCCCCAATGGAACATGGTTTCCCATGTGTTGTATGAATCTGGCCTTTGATCGTGAGCTTATCGGCACCACAATGTACTTTCACCTCATGGGAGATGGCCAACTGATCGGTCATTACGACGAAATGTGGGCTGAATGGTGTGTGGAAGTGTGTAATTTAGCTCATAAAATCAGGCATCTTGTTGTTTTGTTATTTCTAATTCTATACACATGATAGACATGGTCAACTTATCTATAGTTCCTGTTACATTCTTTTGAGTGCATTAAGATAATTAAGATTTATGAGGGTGATTTTCATTTTTTTGTTGTTTATAGATTATAGATTATATAAATTCTCATGAAATTTAAGAAAATGGGTAATTAAGGGAAGCTGAGTAAAGGAAGTCATTGTATAATCAAATAAGGTAACTGGGTTATCAACATAATTGAAGGATTACAACAATTGAAGGATTAACCAAAATATAATGTATCTACATTATCCTTTTTGTAATGAAAAAAACAGATTAACAAATTGAAGGGAATTAGATAAATTAGTCTTATTTGATTTGATTTCCTTCGTCATCTGAATAAGGGAAGTTGAGTAAAGGAAGTCATACATGTGAACTACTACTTGGACTGTATTTATTATTTCTTCTGTAATCCCGTTTTAGAATGTGAACTACTACTTGGACTGGCATCTTCAGCAACATGATTCAAAGTTTCTGGCTCTAATGACTCCAAATTGAGTTCACTTTCTGATGGCTGACCTTTAGAAGCAACATATGTGACAAACTGTCTTTTTCGAAAATCTGCTTTTGTGTTATGGACACAAAGTGGCATCTTGCCTGGTTTTCCTTCAAATTGATAAGAAATGTCTCGTAAGAACTTACATAGATTACAGAAGAAACAAGTTGCTCACATATCACTAGCCTAAGAGAAAAAGAAACATACTCCAGGCATCCTTTACCATTGGCATCTCATATCTCCATCCTTCAGAATATCTCCATGAGGTTAACTGAAAACAAAAAATAATTAAGCTAGAATCAATATTTGCTTTTTGATTTTCCGCTTCAACTCTGTTTTAAAAAAACATATACTCTTTAGTTTTCTTTCTCTCAACTTCCACAAGCTTTCTCCAACACACTTCATAACCAATTTTCATAAGTAAAAAATCAGAGAGTTATTACGCAAAAAATAAAATTGTAAAGTTGTAAAGTGATTATAAAATTGCACAAAATAAGAACTATAAACTAATGTAATTATATGCAAAAATCAAAACTACAGGTTCGTTAAGGTATTAGAAAAATCAACGATTACTTTTTTTTCCTTATTTCAGACGAACGACTAATTGTTTAGAAATAACAGCGGGTGAAGAAAATTAGATTGTGTTTATGCTACTGATAGAATGACACTATCCAGCATGTGCTTATATTTCAATTCCCAATTTGCAAAAATATGATGTTTCCTAATTTTCTCATATCAATCTCCACATATTAGACGCGCTTGTTTAGATCCATACTACATATCTGTGCTCTATAATGGATTTTACCTTGTTTTGACATCATTCTTTTGTTCTCATTGACAGTCAATGATTGAACTTAGCTGCACACAAGATGAATAAGTGGGAGATGGCACAACATCTGTCATTGTTCATGGTATGTTCTATGATTTTGGTTGTATCTCTTTGTTAAAACTGTAATCCTCCAGCTTGATGTGAAACAATAATAGTGATTAAATTACAACAATTTTGCTCCACTCCTTAATTTATCTAAGTAATTGTTTAGTGTCTGTTAGGAGTGATCTATACATGCTATAGAACAAAATATTCCTTGTCCTCCTCCTCCATGGATTGGTTGTTCCTTATTATTGCTAACTAATTTTGAAAAACATGTATTGATAGTTTAATGTTTTTTTGAAGCTGGCGAGATGCTTCATGTTACTGAAGCTTTCATTGATAAGAAGGCATATCTGTAGGTATGATCTGGTTCATATCATTCACAGATTTTCTTTTTTTAGAATTTTATGTATACATATTTTTAAAATTTGCTTGAGAGGTTGGTACAAACTGTGAAGGAGGATAATAAAAGGTTATTGCTAAAGCTCAAGAATCGAATGGAGGGATAAATATTAGATTTTGAATTGAGTTTTGTTTGTTGTTTGTTTTTTGGTTTGTTTGATTAATTGAGTAAATTTTTTGTGTTTTTGGGGTTGGCACTGATTGAGTAATTCACATGGAGATTCCTAAATTCATAACCTGCTTACTTGGTTTGCAAGGAGGGCTTCCTGGTTTACAAGCATTCACAAACTCGGCAAAGCTTGTTGATTTGCTTTTCTAAAATTTATACTCCTAACAAATTTTTTTCATCTCTTACTAAATTATTAAGGTTAAATACTTACAGATATAATGTAGGTTGTATATTCATATACTTACTGGTTAGACCTGTATGTTGGCAGGCTGGATTCATATATGTAAAGAGAATCTTGTAGTACAACCTTTTTTTTTATGTTATGCATCCCATCAAACGAGAGATTGTATTACCTTGAATATAAATTTCTATAAGACAGAAACTTAACAATTGTACTAATATTTTTTTTGGCCTTTTTTGTTGTCTTTATTTGATGAACTGTCATCAATGGCTGCTCAATTTGTTTGCTTTGAAAAGGTAAAAATATCTTGGTATTGCTACTTCTATGACTCTTTTCTGGGGATTCACTTTTTGCCTCTGCTATGCAGTTCAAGCTGTAAATATCTTTCTTGTCATGGAGATAGTATGAAACACAAAATCTTCCTATATGCTGAAATAATCAATCATGTTTTGCTTTTGCAGGGTAATTTGGTTTTATTTATCTATATTACTATATCTTTACCCTGTTTAAATATGACGCAGAGTTTTATAGAGCATCATTAAATTCATTCTAAAATCTCGTTCTATTATTTACAGAATGGAGATGATCTGTCATAAAGGTGTATGGAAATTAAGACAAGGATTTCGGAAGATCTGCCAGATAGAAGTACCTTGGGAATTGGTAGAAATCCTGAATGTGGAACATTGTCGGGTTGTTACAATGCCAGACAACACGGATCCTAGCAACAAGGTGCGAATTATTGAATTTGTCGGGTTGTTACAATGCCAGACAACACTGATCTTACCAACAAGGTGCGAATTATTGAATTTTCAATCCACATCTTGAATGCTATATGGTTGACTTTGAATGTTTAATACCTCATTTACTAGCAGGTTGCTAGATTACTTTACACAAACTCTGGGGTTGGCTTATTAACCCTAGCATCAAATGTCGTTCAAAGGCTGTGGAAATGGAGCCGTAGTGAGCAAAATCCAACTGGCAAGGTAATTTTTGGATGTATAGTTTTGTCGGTAATTATGTTTTTCATATTTCTTTGATCGCAAAGGGAATGAACTAAGCTAATTGAATGTTAAAGGCCACTGCCAGTGTTGTACCACAACATTGGCAACCAAATAGTGGTCTGCTTATGACAAATGATGTCTCAGATACTAAGCCTGAGGATGTTGTCCCTTGTATAGCTCTCTCAAAGAATGATTCATATGTAATGTCTGCATGTGGCGGAAAGGTCTCATTATTTAATATGATGACGTTTAAGGTAAGTTTTACCACATTTTGCATAAAGGAACATGCAATCTTGTTAATTATGTTTCCTCATTACCTTTCAAGGCATCTGTCTCTGCAGGTAATGACGACATTCATGCCACCACCAGCAGCTTCAACGTTTTTAGCGTTCCATCCTCAAGACAACAACATTATAGCAATTGGTATGGAAGATTCCACCATCCACATATACAATGTGAGGGTGGATGAGGTAGTATCTCTAGACCCTGACAATTTTTCTACTCTTAAGAGTTGTTCTCGATTCATTGTTTTTTTCTCCTCATTTTCTGGTAGGTTAAAACAAAACTGAATGGCCATCAGAAATGCATAAGTGGATTGGCTTTTTCCAACAACTTAAATATCCTGGTATCTTTAGGTGCTGATGCTCAGGTAAGTTTCTAAAAATTAATTTCCTTGTGATTTGAACTTTTGGAAATTTCTGTCTAGAAATGCTTTAAGGAAAAGTTACTCTGTTAGACCTTGTTGGTAGGATATGAATCTTTCTTATGTGTTGATGAATATATTATGCAGATCTATGATGTTATAGTTATATTAGGTATAATATATTAGGAATATGTAGTTGAAGGATATTAGTGATGTAATTGAGAGGATAAAAGAATATGCTAAGAATATATTTATCATATTACTAATAATATGTAACATGTATTTATTTGCTATTTGTATAAATATAAGAGATCAACATAGCTTTAGATAGAGTCTCTGGTTTTCCTCAGAATTAATTTTAACATGATATCAGAGCCATGCAAACCCTAGCCTCAACTCTAGATTCTCAAAAACTATAAATTAACTTTTCCGTAAGAGTCGAATTTCGTTTGACGTTCAAGGTAAGTTTATAAACATTATAGTTTATTCAAAGTACGACTTCAATGCTTACCCTTGTATGTGATTGATTCAATCATTTGTTGGTCTTACAGATAATATTTTTTATATTCGAATTTTCTTTTTCTGATTTTCTTTTTTATGGGGAAGGAGGTAAAAGAATACCCTTCTATGTGCAGCAAGCTTTCTGATCAAAGTGAATGTGATAATAGGGTGGTGGTTGATGGAAACCTGATCACAAACAGAAGGCCAGAGACTTCCATAGAGTTTGTGCAGGCCATAGTAGATAAGTTCTTTGGCTACAAAAAAGCCCTCGATCTTGCAAGAAGCCTGGTTTTTGTCTAATGAGCTAATAATAGCCCTGTGGTGGAGAGCTGGGCATAAGGATGTAATCAGTAGTTTCTGTATAAACTAAGTTGCAACGACCCACAATCTGTTGCAGTTTTTGTACGAGTATTGTGCGTTCAATCGGTTTAAGTCGTCTGTGATTGTACTTAAACCATCGGTTCAAATACATGATGAAGTAATGTTACAGTAAGACTATAAGAAAATGTCACCATGTATGTATACTATCTAAATGATGGGTTTCTGCCATTTCTGTCATTAGTTGGGAATTCTTTCTATCTCACGCTTTGCATCATAGTATGCACCTGCATTATATAATCTATGTGAAGAATGTATTTAATAACTAATTTTAAAATTTGTGAGTGAAAACTTATTTGAATTTCAATATTTACAAGAGAACTCTTGTAGTTTATTAATATGCATCACGTGCAACGCACGTGTGACATACTAGTCAAGATAAAACTGAAAATAGAGGCTTGTACCTGTCAAAATATAAACGAACGACTCTCTTCAATTATAATTTACCAATTAAAACAAATCAAATTGTAAAAGAGAAGTAATAAGACGATCTTTAATAATAAAGTAGGATGTTGAATTATAGATTTAAGGTGGCATTTGATTGTTGTAGAGTCTTCTTCAAATGTCTATTTTTATAATATAAGACAACGGAGTTCGGTTGTCGTAAGATAAAACAATGGTCTTCGATTGCTACGGACTCAAATGTCAAGTTTTAAGATAAAACAGTCAACTTCCCAAATCAATACTATTTTTAAAATCTATCCTCCGAATTGTTATATGATTGCCAAATATTAATTAACTTCTTCTAGCAACTTACGAACGGTAAGCCGATAACCAAATGGATTAATTACATTCTGGTAACCCTCCGATATGGCGTAATTATATCAATAACACTATAGTGAGCGAACCAATATGAGCCTGATGGCAAGTACGCAATTACAATCAACAATGTCAAGATTACTAGTATAGATATGCAAACTCCACGATTACTCACGTAATTACACTATGGGGTTGTTTGGTTCGCTATTATAAGGGGTGGAAAACTCAGAAAACCCCTCCACGTCAGATTTTTAGCCCTCCACATTAGCTTTTTTGTTTCCGTCAATTTCTTTATGCCGCTTTGGTTCGCTCGAATGGAAGAGGGAAAACTCTGCTAAAATCGCCGCCAACTAACATTTTTTTCCCTCTCCGATTTTCTTCCCCAACCAAGTGAAATTGATGAAAACTCTGACACGTCAGATTTTTTTCATTCTCTGCTTTGTTTACAAAAGTTTTCCTTTTTTTTCTATGCGAACCAAACACTGGAAAAATAAATACATTAGTTTCCCACCATTTTTTATGTGCGAACCAAAGCAAAACAATCTATTTCTTGGAAAAGTTTGGAAAACTCATTTTATGTGCGAACCAAAGCAAAACAATCTATTTCTTGGAAAAGTTTGGAAAACTCAAAACTTGTGTTTCTTTACATGGAATTGCATTTCTCTATATCAAGGAAACGAACCAAACAGCCCCTATACCTCAAGGTAGCGATATGTAATTAATTATGACCAAATTATGATCCACTAGAAAAAAGATAAAAATAGGAAAGAGTTTCGCAAATCATTGAAGCATATTTTTCGATTACAATAAAGTAAATGCAACACGAGTCGGTAACTAAAAGAAAAAAAGGATAAAAATAAGGATAGCTACTCACAGAACTAAGCCATATATGGGCAATCAAAGCAAATATGAAACAATCAAGCAGCACCTGTATCATCGACATTATACCAAGATCAACCTTTCGCAAGGGGGAAAAAACTTAAACGGTGGACTTTTCAGCACATTATCAAATGAGCAAGCGACTACAAGAAATTGTCACAATGTATCAGAATCAACAGACAAGTGTATGAATAGTTTACAATAACACATGTACAGACATTAGAGAGGATATAAATAAGATTTTTAATCCACTAACATGCTTGATATCAGAAGCTAGTGGCGTTTCGGTGATAAGTGCTGTTCAGTCCGAGCGAATACCACCCATGAATGTCTGAGGATCTGGGCAGGTCCCTGAAAACTGGGCCTGAGAGAAATCAAACCCTGGATTCTGCAAATAAGAAGAAAAGAAAAGACAGCATGAATAATTTACACCATCTAACATTTCCAAACATAACAATAGAGTAAGAAAGCTTGTTGGAAGATTATGGCAGCAAATCATGGTATCGCTCGATTTCCACTGTAGCCAAAGAAATATAGAGTAAGAAACCTTTCTGATCTTATTATTGAGAATGACCCTACCCCGGTTTATCACTTACTATCTTCAAAAGAGAATAAGGTGTCATTAATTAGTATTGCCCTTCACTTTTGATTAGTTGAGCACTTGCAACCTTTTGTAGAAACAGAATTCAGGACACATTCAAAGTTCAAATGATTCGAGAACACCTATAATCTGCTTGTAAGTTGTAGTTCCCATCCAATCTTTTGCTCTGAACAATTCAGAATGAGAACTTTAGTAAGGTGATCCAACAGCTTTTGCTTTTCTCCAAGCAACTCAAAGATACCAAATGAAGAAAAAAGCTCCCTAGCAGAAACCTCACCATATTGGTGTCACGTCCCGAAACTGTAGCGGAAATTCATAAAATATTCACATAGTTTATTTCAAAATATTCACAACCTGCTGATGATAGAAGTCAGAGCAACTATATATATGATCGGTACTTACAGCCCACAAGCTCACCGTTATAAACATTTTTACAAAACAAAACAAATTATGCTGAAGATAACATCAAAAAGAAGAGGCTCTTCATATCACGCCTCTCAGCCAAAAGCATAAACCAAAAGTCGGCTAATAGGAAGCTACGCTGGATCTGAAAAAAATATTTAAAAACAACGGGGTGAGCTAGCGCTCAGTGAGAACATTTCCCACTAGAGTTCCTAGATAACTAACAAAATAGTAATAAGAATAGTTCTCAGAAATTAACAAATTTCAAGTTTTGCATGAGAAATTCACAGATAGCAAAATACAATCCAAATATCGTAATATTGTCATTTTTAAGAAAGAATACAACAATTATCTTTCCTTTCTCATGTGCAACTGAATAAACTGTGAAATTTTTTGGAATCAAACCCTTTTTGAATCAAGGTAAACATTAAGAAGAAAAAGAACTACTAATTTGTACAAAATCAGAGAATTGTTGCTTTCTTAATTTCACAGTGAATTATCAGAATCTTATTTCTCGATGAATATTTCATGAATGTAAAAGTCACCCCATAGGTCACACTAAGGCTACGAATTTTAGCCCAGTAGCAAGGGAATGCGTAAATCCGCATCAGATAACAGATAATTCCCGGGAATCGAATGCATCCAACACTGCCATAGGTTACTGACCAAATACAGATGGGCCAGAACAAATTTCGGAAGGGACAATACAGAAGGGCCAATACAGAAGGGCCAAATACAGGTGCATTCACCATATGGCAGGCAGAAACAATCCATAGTGGACTATTTGAGGGTTTGAAAACATCGAGATCACATGTCAAATGAGCAATACTTTGTATATCAGAATTTACAGATATTTTCAAATGAAGTTGGCAAGATAAAACTTCTCATTTCTGTTAAAACAGTTTACAGATATTTACTTTTTCTTTTATCAGATACTAAATCACGAAAAATCTTTGAATCCGTTAAACTGTTGAAATACGTTCCAAATATTTCATCAAAAACTTTCAGATATAACAAAGTCCACAATTATTTGAAAATTGCACGAGAGCTAAAGTTATTTTTCATATTTTACATAAAGATCAAATTAGCTTTTCATATATTGTACGAGGCTAACATCGTATTATAGGATAGACCACAACAGAAATAGGTTAAATCTTTATATACATGAAAAGACATATTATTTATTTATTTATTTTTATCACAAGATAAATCAAATATAAAACTCATGCAATTTCATATTATAAAATACTAGTGAGAAATGAACTCACCTCTAGTGGTCACGACTTTCTCAAAATATTAGTCTCCCGAATATCAACCAGAACCTATAATGTAAGATATCTGACTAATTATTTATTCAGAACAAACATATATTATAGGTAAATCAATTCATAATCTAGAGTCTAATAAATTCAAATATAATAAATAATGATTAAATTTTACAGTCCATATGAGCTTATTGTTAGTTTTAGCAATTTATCAAAATTTTATAACTCTCATATACTAGCTTTTGGACTTTCTAGTAATTTATAATAATGTATGGGGTTATAGAAAATTTATCAAGCCTAAAAATTAACTTTTATTCTTCAGATTGGACTTGTTTACAAGTAGATTAAATGACAAGGGTCTAACAGAGATTTCCAATCATTTTTCTAACATAACTCACATTATTAAGATCTGTTTCAAAATTTTTCATGGTTCAGGGGGCTTAAAGCAATTTTTCCTCTCCTTATCTAAACCTCTGGCTTCCTGACTATTCATCTTCTTCCCCTTTTCTCTTTTTTTTTCCGTTCCCTTTCTTCTTTTCTTTTTTTTTCCGGTTTTTCTTCTCCCCCTCCTCTCTCTCTCTCTCTCTCTCTCTCTCTCTCTCTCTTCCCCCCCTCTCTCTCTCTCTTGCACTCGCCATGGCTGCAGGACGGTGACGAGGAAACCGCCGACGACCAAGAGCGGCCGACGACGAGGTCCTTGCCGGATCTAGGGGTTAGTTTTTTTTTTCTTCTCTTTTTTTTCCAGTTTGTTTCATGCATCCAAAACACACAAAAGAATCCTTTTGCAAACCCTAGATTCTTTTTAAGTTCATATTCATAACAATTTAATTCCCTTATTCATTCTATTTTGATTGATTTACTGAGATCTCTATAACAACTTTACTCCTCTAAGGGCCTGTTTGGTTATTTCCTAAAAAACCAAAAAATAGAAATGAAAACAAAGAAATCTCAAAAAGTACAATTTCACACATTTCCATCCCTAAAACTCACCCACAACATCTAATAAAATATTATTTTTATCCAACAACTCATCCACCACATCTAATAAAATATTATTTTCATCAACAACATCACTCAACTCATCTCATCTCATATTTAAAAATCACTTACATCATCCAATAAGATTGTGACAACTCATCTCATCTCATTAACATTTCATTTTGATAACTCATCTCATCTCATTAACATTTCATTTCTTTGTTTTCCTCCCAAAAAGCTAGGAAAACAATTTCTTTAAGTGTGGGTCACATCATCCAATAATATAATGACAACTCATCATCTCATCTATTTTCTTATTTTTAAGAAATAACCAAACAAAAGAAAACAACCTATTACAAGAAATATGTTTCTTATAATTCATTTCCTTATTTTTTCCACCAACCAAACAACATCAAAACAAGTTTTATTAAAAAACCACTCACATCATCCTATAATAAGGTGACAACTCATCTCATTTCATCTCCATTTCTTTGATTTCCTTCTTTTTTTTAGCCAACCAAACAATCCCAAAACCTATTTTTCTTACCATTTCTTTGATTTCCTTCTTTTTTTTAGCCAACCAAACAATCCCAAAACCTATTTTTCTTAGAAATAGGTTTCCTTTTTTTTGATTTCCCTCTTTTTTTAGGCAAACAAACAACCCCTAAACCAATAAATCAACAAAGGGAAGAGTTTATACCTTTGGTTAACTTGAATTTTAGATGAAAAAAATCCCCTCTTTTCCTTTCCTGTTCACTGTTTCCTTCCTCTTCTTCTTCTTCTTTATTTTTATTTTTTCGTTTTTAACCTGAATTTCTCCCCTTTCCTCCCATTATATACCGTTGGGAGGCGGTGAAAAGATAATCGCTATGTTAAGCGGTGGAGAAACTCCCCACCACAAAATTTTTAATTATTTTATTCATTTATTTATTTATTTATATTTTTATTGGCCATTACACTCTCCCCACCTAATAAAAAGTTTCGTCCTCGAAACTTAACATACCTATATCTCGAAAGAGCTCCGGATATCTCTCTCACATAGAATCTTCCGTCTCCCAAGTAGCTTCTCTTTCAGAGTGATTCTTCCACTGAACTTTCACATATTTGATTATTCGGTATCAGAGTACTTGTTCTTTATAATCCACAATACGTTCTGGTCTTTCTTCATAGGTCAAATCTGGCTTGAGCTCTACTGGAGACAACTCAACGATCTCATTTGGATCTCGGATGAACTTTCGAAGCATGGATATATGAAATACATCATGTACTCCAGACAGGGCTGGTGGTAATGCTAATCTGTACGCCACTGGACCAATACACTCTATTTCAAAAGGACCAATGAATCTCAGGCTTAACTTCCCTTGTATTCCAAATCTTTTCACTCCTCGGGTAGGCGAAACCTTTAAGAAAACATGATCGCCTACTTGAAATTCTAATTCCCTTCTTCTTTGATCAGCATAACTCTTCTGACGACTTTGTGCTGTGCGAAGACGTTCTCGAACTAATTGAATTTTATCAATTGCTTGTTGTACCAATTCTGGTCCAAGAAGTTTTCTTTCTCCAACATCATCCTAATGAATAGGAGACCTACACTTCCTTCCATAAAGAAGTTCATATGGTGCCATCTGAATGCTAGCTTGGTAGCTATTATTATATGCAAACTCGGCCAGAGGCAGATAATCTTCCCACGACCCTTTCATTTCCAGTACACAACATCTTAACATATCTTCCAGTGTTTGAATTGTCCGTTCTGATTGGTCGTCTGTCTATGGATGATAAGCTGAGCTGAAATTTAGTTTAGTCTGCAGAGCTCTATGCACACTTTTCTAGTATTCTGATGTGAACCGAGGATCTCGGTCAGAAACTATTGATATTGGTATACCATGTAACCTTACTATCTCATTAATGTACATCTTAGTCAGCTTTTCTAATGAAAATTTCATATTGATCGGTAAAAAGTGTGCCGACTTTGTCAACCGGTCCACAATTACCCATATTGCATCATTCTTTCTCAAAGATTTTGGAAGACCAGTGACGAAATCCATGGTGATCTTTTCCCATTTTCACATTGGTATGTCCAAGTTATGGACTAATCCAGCCAGTCTTTGGTGCTCAGCCTTTACTTGTTGGCAAGTAAAACAT